AAATTTGCTACAGTGAAAAACCCCCTGTTGTGAAAAATTTCTTGCTGCAAACATGATTTCGTTGTAGAGGAGTTTCACTGTACTGTAATTATTTTCTGGATAAAAATTCATTTGGTGTTCAAAAAGTCTCTTTTCAAACTTGAGTCTTGAAAAGGAGGGGATCGTCTTATAATCAGTCTTATATTCGGGCCAATATGGTAATATATAAAATCCCCGCATATTGACATGTTTTTTCCAGGACAAATTATACCAGGAGGAATACCAGTTGGTGGTGACAGATGAGGAGAGGGAGCATATCTCCTCCAAACTCAGTGAAGCATCCGCATGGATGGACGACGATGGCTACACTGCAACCATCACTCAACTCAAGGAAAAGCTTTCTCAGCTCAAGCACGTATGCAAGGACATGATTTTTCGGGTGGAAGAGCGGCGCAAGTGGCCCGATCACCTCGCCGCCCTGGACAGCATGCTCAACACCTCCAGCATCTTCCTACGGTGAGCTTTGTTGACATGGAAATCTGAGGACGCTAGTTTGACATTGTCTTTGTTCTGACTTTTTTTTTTAATTGTTTTTATTATTATACTTTCAAAGGAGTGCAAAGCTCATTCCAGGAGACGATCAAATATTTACTGAAGTTGAACTGAATGTTTTAGAAAAAGTGATCAATGGGACACTGGTAGGTGACATTCATTTCTTTTTCTTCTTTCCAATCGCTCTACAGTTAGATCGAAAAGTTGAGCCGTGTGTGTGTGTGTGTGTGTGTGTGTGTGTGTGTGTGTGTGTGTGTTACTGTTCTGTAAAAAGAGATTGGGATGATGGAAGTTAGGGGTGCACTGATCATACTTTTCTGGCCGATCCCCGATCTTTATAAAGCCTGACCTGCTGATCCCGATTTCTTTTCATTACTTGTGGAACAATACTATTTGGGTTGTTTTAAATACATGAAGTCGTTTTTCCCAAATAGAAATGGAAAGCCTGTTAGTCATCTCAAAGCAGAAGAGGACAGTGGAGGGGAATGTGATCGGTGGACAAGATCGGTTTTATTTTATGAGATCCGTTGATCACCAATTACCACCACCTACCCCACCCCCCCCAAAAAAATTAAGAATATAGCCGCCGTTCCCAGCCAATGAATTGGTGCACCCCTAAACGGAATTCCAGTTATTTTCATGCCTTTTGAGCTAACTTCAGTGCCATGACAGAGGTGTGGGTGATGCCTATGGCAATTCTATAATGCCATCATCGGTAATGTAGGATTTAACATTGGACATGCTGATAAATCATTTGCACTTCATTTTCACACGGCTCGACACAAAAGTTTTTTTTACCAGCTAGCATGGACAGTCATACCTCGGTTTTCGACCATAATCCGTTCCAGAAGGCTGTTAGAAAAGCGATTTGTTCGAAATCCGAAACTATTTTATTAGCCCATGATTAGGGGCTAATACACTATGCAGAAATAACAAAAAAAAAAACCTGTCAGATTTGCGTAAATCACAACAAATACGTCTGCTCACAGTGAACGTTACACGAGGAAGCCGAGAGGAGTCGAGTGGCGTATTCGGGTTTGGTCGAAAACCCGTTTTCGGTCGTAATCCGAGGCGTAAAAATCTCAAATTTTCTGGTCGAAATCCGATTTGGTTGATAACAGAGACGTTTGAAAAGCGAGGTTTGACTGATATGTCGAATACAGTCCCTGTGTTGGTGGGAGCGTTAAAATATATGCACTTGCACACATGCGACAAAATGAAATTCTTGGTCGCACAGTTTGAAACGGGTCTCATTTGCGAACCGATTTCAAGTGCAGTCTCAAGATTTATTCAATTTATAGATTGCAGGAATCCATGTCAGTCTAACAGTTGCTGAATGCAACTTTGCTCTGTTCTGCGTTTGGCAATGCAAAGGTGGATACATGCGGGTTTACATGCTTGCAATTGAGTATTTAGGTTGAACCTAAGTAAAGATGCCCTATTTCTATTATTATTATTATTTATTTTTTTTTTTTTTAAACAAAGACAACTTGAGCTGATGCCCTTTACAAGTAATGCATGAAAACCACCGCCATCTGTCCAGACATGGAGGAATGAGATTGCCGCCGAGCAGGAGAAACGTTCTCCAAAAGAGCGTCCAGTCATGCTCTCCAAAGACATTGAGGCCAAGCTTGCCCTGCTGGACAGAGAAGTCAACTACCTTCTAAACAAGGCAAAGTTTGCCAAGCCGAAACCTAAACCCAAGAACAATACGAGCGCCGATAAAAGTAGCAAGGCCAATAGCACCGCTGAGCAGGAAGTCATCCTGCCCACAGAGGAGATCTCCGACGAAACGAGTGGTGAGTGACGCTTTCACACTCAAAAACATAATGAAACACCGATATGTGACAAGTAGAATTCCTTATATTGACGACACTTTCAAATATAGAAAACCTAGAAGACAAGCTGCCCCTTGATGCCACGCCCACAGAGGAGAGCACTGCTCAGATAGAATCTGGGACCAAATCACAGCTCGGAGAAGAAACAAAATCAGGTTGGTTTGCTTTTCAGTTTTGTGATGACGGACTTCCAAAGTCATTGGTATGAATTGTAACTAACGTTCTGGCTTGTTTTTCTTTTTTTCCCTTTTGTCCGAATTTCCAGGAACTGAGAAGGCTAAATCTGAGAACCACATAGATGATGAATTATAACAACTGGAACATGGAGTGTTATCACAATATTTATTGATGGTGTAAATGTTTTTTTTTCTTTTCATTTTTGACCTGATGTCCATTTGATGTTGATTTGGTTTAAAGACTCGTGATGACTTTTCTCCTTTTCCTTATGTTGGTCTCAGCAGCATACGCTTCACACTGTGACAAAGAACTTCAGCAACTTGGTTTAGTTGTTTTTTTTTTTTTTTTTTTAATGTTTGTTTTCACTCCTTTGCACTGTATTTTTTTGAACCCTATTGTTGTTGTATGCTGACGCTGAAGATCCTCTCCAGACAGCCCAACATGCACACCCACCTCTCCCAGGCCCTTGGAAGGAGCAAGAAAACAGAACTTCAATTATAACATTTCAGTCTGAGTCAATGTAACACATTAGATTGAATAGGCACTTTGGGTTATTGGTGTATTAAGAGTACAGTAACATTTTTTTTTTTTTAAACCAAGGAATTACCAAAAAAAAGGAATCGGACATTTCTGGCAGCCAGAGAGAGAAGATACTAGTTGTTAACACAACGTAAGAAAGCGATTTTTCATCGATTGTGTATCATGGCATAATTTTCAAAACATGGACAGTATGGTGTTCCATGGCAGTCATGTGACTCCATTGTTGTAATACTTTAAAAAAACATATTTGTCTAAAGTCAGAGCTGATATGTGATGACAAGTACACCGTATGCCCTGCGACCTGCACCATTACTTTTGAGAACATGTTAATTGGAAGATGACAATGAATAAAAGTGTAACTTTGTTGCCTCTGGAGTTGACTTAAGTGTGCACTGCTCAAAAGATTGTTTTTGGTGTGTGTACTATTCCAAATGGTACACTTTTTCTCCAGTTTATTTTAAATGGAATACGTTCATTGGGTGTTTTTTTTCCCTCCAGTTGAACTATTGGGAAAAAATTTGCACATTTAAAAAAATAAATAATTGTGGACTGATAATTTCTTGTTCAATGCTCTTGTACAGTTCATTCAGTGTAATTTTCCTAAATCCCTGCTAGTCACTGATTTATGCAGTTCAGCATTTCAGCCCATTGTTATGAATTATTTAGTTAATAAAAGCATGACATTGGACAACAGTTGTAAAAATTAGTCTCAATATGCCTCCTGGAGGTCGTGCTCTCTTGCAGGAAAAGCTTTTCTGCAGCCTATTTAACCATTACGATGAAAAAAACGTTCGTAGATTTCTTCATGGCTGGACGGACTCTTATCAAATGTGTAAAATTTTCACAAGATAAAGATGATGTGGGTGAAGTTCCGGCAGCTTATGTAGGCACGGCAATGCCAAATTTTAAAAGGAAAAAAAAAATGGTGATAGCACTTTGATTCGGTCACTGTGACTCATCAGATTTTCCAGCACCATAATGGTCACACCTTTTGGCGAAAAGTCACAATATTTGGTCTGAAGCAGGAAGCTTTACTGACCAATTTTCAGTTTTATTCGTTCACCGGGCTCGGTGTAGTACATTAAAATGTCCATCCATCCATCCATTTTCTGAGCTGTTTCTCACAAGGGTCGGGGGCGTGCTGGAGCCTATGCCAGCTGTCTTTGGGCAGTAGGCGGGGGACACCCTGAACCGGTTGCCAGCCAATCGCAGGGCATAAAAAAAATATATATATTTTATTAGTATTGCATTGATACATCAAGTCCACGTAACCGAATTAGCACACATAGTGCACTCTTGGACCTACAGTACTTGCTCAAATCAAAATAGGATTGAAAAAGTAATAAAAGTACAAAAACGTACAAAACACAATAGAGCTCCGGATGTCGGCATCACGCATCCCACAATGCCCCACGGCAAATGCAAACAGCCATTTCGGCAGGGTAGAAAACTTTCAGGAAACGCCGCACTTTGACAATGGTTGACAGTTGATGTGCATCTGGGTTCCACAACAATAGGGGGGCGGGGGGTCGAGTATTCTCCAGCCCACCATTAGAAGAACCAAGACCGCCCACTTACCCATCTGGTGCACCCGCTCTACAGTGAGACCAAGGTTAAACAACCTATGTTGGCATACCCTCCTCAAACAGCAATTGAGTTGGAATGCCCCGCCAGCCTGTGGTGGGCCTTGCTGCAAGCACCAAAATTCTCACGCCCATCTAGTGATGCCCACCAGCTCCGGTAAACAACAATGTAATAATTATTAATATGTGTGGGTATTATTCAAATGATGAAAATAATAATGTTTCATATTAAATATTCTCTTACTCACTTCCAAATTCTGGTTTTGTAATGGGTGGAGATTTGAATAAGATATTGGACCATAATGTGGACTGTTGGCCTGCAAGTGATCAGTCTTGTGGAAATAATACCTTGAAGGTATTTATGCAGTGGCGGCCTGGTGGTCGATTGGTTAGTGCGTCGACCTCACGGTGCAGAGGTCGTGTGTTAATGGAACACTCCAAATTGTCCCTCAGTGTGAGTGTGAGCACGAATGGTTGTATGTCTTTGTGTGCCCTGCGATCGGCTGGCAACCGGTTCAGGGTGTCCCCCACCTACGGCCCGAAAACGGCTGGGATAGGTTCCAGCACGCCCCGCGACCTTGATGAGGCCAAAGCGGATCAGAAAATGGATGGATGGAGTGTATTTATGCAGTGATGTGATGGTGATGGTTGGTGATACTTTCATACGGAACATATAAATCACTTACCTCTATCGCTCAGCACCGACGCCGCTACGTGTCATTGCAATGACTTTTTTGAGTCCTGTCGTTGATGTAGGCCAATATCAGCCATCTGTTGGATGTGGGCCCACCTGCCAGTGACACATCTTGAACAGAGGAGGGAAAGTGAGGGATTAGGGGAAGAGGGCAGGGGAAAGAAGCGTCTGTCATGATCAGGTCGCAAATTCATGAATGGAGGGAAACATTGCGGATGGCTGCTGCGATATGTTAACAACAGTGCAGCAATTTCCTTTTTCTGTCGAACTCTGGTCGTACCGGCCAGTCCGCCCTTGATACTGGGGTACAGCTATTTAATACTGGGGCATGTACCCCAGCAAAAGGGGTCTGGCGATGCCCCTGATTATACTGCATGTTGCTTCATCATTAGGAGACAACTCTCGAGAGGGAAAACATCAATTGCTGAGTTGAAAACATACAGCAATAGAAAAAATTGACAGTCCGTCATGTTTTTTCAACTTTTTGTTCATTTTGATATCTGGTGCCACTAAAAGCCTTATGAATCCAATCCAATACACCCTGATTTGTATAGCGCTTTCACAGCAGCTGCAGCTGTAACAAAGCGCGATACAAAAGGGTTAACATAAAATAAAATAATATAACACAACACATGTCATGAAACAAGGATGGTCATGCAATCTTAACCACTTTTCGTGCATACGCTTTGCTGTGTGAAGCAGTTCTCAATGAAAGAGGAGGGAATCAAAATGTCCTTTCACCAGTGGATCAGAGACGTCATGCTCAAAATTTACACACATCTGCTACAAGCTAAGTTCGAAAGTAAACAAGAAGCGTTAGCATCCATTGATGAAAAATGAGATTGATTCACTTCTCCTGTCCCATGTAAATCCATTTCAATTCCAAGCGGCGACTCTCAGTTTCAAATACGCATCCACACTCTGCAATGACGCTCTTCTCTCCTCATCCTCGGCTCCAGCAACCAATCATCCAACTGCACCAGCGCAGACTGTCCAACAGCACCGGCATCTCCGCAAAACAAAACGTGGCTGTGAAAGATGCTGTCCATTACAGGTGCAAAAAAACCCAAGTGCCCCGGGACTGTCCAGTGGCGGCAGTCAAAATTCGCCGACAGTCCTTCCATCAAAACCAATGCTGGTACAGTACATGCGTACTGCAGAGAAGGCGCAACCAATAAGCACACCAAAAAAAACGCTGAAAACAATCCACATTTGGTCTTCACAAAGTAACAACAAACACCACGTGACAAAACGAAAGCCAAAAAAAAAAAACACAGTTCTCGAAGAGCACTTGCCGACAGCTGCCAACTACGGCCCCATCTTGGATATTATCAAGTGACGAATTAATACAAAAGAAGGCATGGAATGCCTAAAAGCACCATTTTTGGGCAGTATAATCCCGGAGCCATTTACTACATATAAGAATTTGTGAAATCATTTTGGTTGTTATCAAGAAAACCTTTAGAACATCTCACAATCAGCTCTTAAATTCTTTTGAGATGTGTTTGCTCTCGTTTATTGTTCCCAAAAATATGTACCAGTACCAATGCCAGAAACAAGGGTGGCCTCTTAATTTTTTCCATCGCTGTATAATAGAGCGATTCTACCCAATTAATTGATTGCTCCATCAGAGAGCAAAGGCAAGTCAGAAGAGCATGGAGATGTCTCTGAAAAAACAGAGCGATGGAGATGTTTTGCCGGGCTTCGTCGCCACCTAGCACGTCGAATGAAAGGTGATCAGACACCAGGGCCAAGGCTTTCATCACTAAAGACGATGAAAAGTGCAAGAACACACAGCTACGGAGAAATACAAGTTAAAAGCTGAAGATCAAATAACTGAAGAAGGAAAAATATAGAAAATATTGTGAGAGGTGCAAGTTGAAGACGTGTCCAAATGTTGCGCAAGAACGAAGACTTGGACGGATTTAATGAGACACAAAGTTCCAGATCACAGAAAAAAGAGAAACATCTCATCACCCCTGCATGAAACATGACCCTCCAGCCATATGGACTCAACTTCAACCAATCCTTTGGTTCCTGAGGGAGACCTATCCGAAGATCAAGAAGCTCTTTTTCATCAGTGCAAATTGAGTCAAAAAATAATACTGTACCTCCCTAATGAGCAGAGTTTCATACCAGATGGCATTCACATCTGTAAACTGGAGTTTCCTGGAGGCTGGTCATGGCAAAGGGCCTGCCGATGGTGTTTTGAGTCACCATGAAGCGAACTCAGGCAGTTTCTATGATAACCTTTCATGTGAAGTACTTTCATTTCCATTTTATGTTTGAAAGACGCGATATAAATGAATTCAATTTCAATGCAGGTAGCCAGATGATGATGATGAGCTGTCCAACGTGGACGCAGCTTTTGCCCTCAGTCAGCTGCGATCGGCTCCAGACCCCCTGCAACCCAAAGACAAGATAAGATAAGAAAACCTTTATATGTCCCACAATGGAGAAATTTGTAATCTACAGCAGCAGAATTGAAGGGGTGGGGGGTAGAAGAGAAAAACAAAGTATTGCATGGACAAAATAAATGTTTCAGAAAAGTACAGGACAAATAGGTAGAAAATGGATGAATTCATGTTTCTTTAGTTATTAAGATTAAGATTAAAATTAAGATTAAGATTAAGATATCCTTTATTTGTCCCACACTGGGGAAATTTACAGTCTACAGCAGCAATTTTGGGGGGTAGAAAGAAGAAAAACATTATGATACGTGTTAAAAGTGAAAATATAGCAAAAAGAGTGAAGTGATTGCAATGCTAGCCTTAGACCAGGGGTGTCAAACTCATTTTTGTCTCGGGCCAGATTTTACTGACAGTTTCGCGTGGATGGCCGTTATGACTGAAACCATATAAGAAGTCAAGAATAACGCTTTATTCAACTATTGTTTAAGTTACTTTAATGAGGGGTTTGGTAACAAGAAAATGTTAACAGTATCACTCTTAGTTATCACAAATGAGAATTTGAAATTTTGGTAGAGATTTTTATAAGCATCATGAAAGTTGACAACTGTGATTTGCTTTCAGGGGCTACATAAAATGATGTGGCGGGCCAGATCTGGCCACCAAGGCCTTGAGTTTGACACATGTGCCTTCGACAAAGTGTTACTGAAACAACAGCAACAGTATGGTCACTAAGGAAACTTTACAGTCATTGCCCCTCTCCCCCTCACACACACACACACACACACACACACACACACACACACACACACACACACAAAACAGACGTTATCAAGCAACAATTTATGATAATGATTGGTTCGGTGTTAAACAATGATGAGTGATGAAGTCAATATGAACAATTTTTTTCCATTTTACAACACGAAATGGCATTTTGGATTGGAGTGTTGGCGCGGAGCACGGATGCGTATTTGGAACTGAGAGTCGTACTTGGAATTGAAATGGATTTACATGGGACAGGAAAAGTGAACCAATCTCTTTGTTTCGTCAATGGACGCTACAGCTTCTTGTTTACTTTGAAACTTAGCTTGTATCAGACGTGTGCACATTTTGAGCATGACGTCTCTGATCCACTAGTGAATGGACACTTTGATTTTCTCCTCTTTCATCTAGAACTGCTTCAAACAACAAAGCGTGTGAGAGAAAAGTGGTTAAGATTGCAGACTGTCCATGTTTTTATGTTATGTGTTGTGTTTATCATTTTACTTCATGTTAACTTTTTTGTAAAGCGCTTTGGTACTCTTGTGAAAGTGCTATATAAATCAGGGTTATTGTATTGTATTTTGATTAGATACATTTAAGAAAGAATTACATCAAATGCTGTTAAAAATTAATTTAGACAAGATTTTGATCTTCAAACCATATATATTAATTGATACAAATACTGTATGCAGTGAAGAACAGAAAAAAAATATGAATCATTAATATAATTATTTTCATTCTACTCTAATTGTGTTTTAGTTGTGACCAATTTTAGGACAGGGCAAGCTATTTGGGAAAAGCTAGAAAATATCGTTTGAAAATTGACTGTACTTTTACTCTTTATTTGCCCCGAATATATGATGCAAAATGTATACAGTATAGTCAATGTTTTTCTTAATCAACCACTTTGGCACATTTTTCAATTCAGAATTTGAACTACTTAGGTAGAATGGTCCATTAATGTCTTATCTGTTACTATTGTAATGTTGTGATTACAGTCAAATGATTTGTATATCACGTAACAACTTAAAACTACTTCAGTTTCGTTGCTTTCGCCGGTCGAGCATTTTCTCGAAATCTGCTGCCGTTGTTTAAAGCCACGCGGTTATCACGTTCGATTGCGAAATACTACGTCACATAGGAAGCGGTCACTGTCGTTGGCGCGTCACAAGATTGGACATTGGCTGTACGTTGAGTGCGTTTAGAAAACGTTGCGTGTGATTGGGTGCTTTGACCGCAATAAATAACGGTCCGTTCTCAAGTACTTCCTTTTCCTGCTTCACCACCAAGGACAAGCCACCTTCAGTCCAGACCTTCCCTTCAACATCCCGCTTTGTGAAAATATACCAGAACTCACTGCTTCGGTGAGTCATTTATCTTTTCGTTTGTTCTTTTTTTTTTGTCTTAATTCTTTGCTTGTAAGGTCAATTAATACCCGATTGTTTAAACGAATTGCATGACATCTCGTTAATGATTGTGAAATGAATGACTCGTCCATATTAACATTACACAGACCCCCCCAGCCCCCCAAAAAAAACACAAAAAAAATTATGAGGTTGTTTTCCCGTTAGTGCTTAAACAGATGCTATTCGTGGTAGCTTTAGGTAATGAGCGGAGATTAATGGATGGATGGGTGGGGGCGGAGGATGGAGACGTTCGAGAACGTTCTGCCCTCTAGCTAAGCTAACGGTTAACGCCAGCATCCTTACTGTGGAGTTGAGAGCGTGCGAACGACGAAACCTCGTCGAGAGAAAACAAATGACGACTGATTTGGAATATTCTATCCATAGATTTCCTATTTAATCAGCAGCCTACGTGCGTATTGTATTGTTCGCTCACCGTCAAAGGTTAGCATGGTAGAACATTAGCGAGCATCATGGTCACCATTTTGTACAACACGATGCCTGTTTCCGCCGTTGAAAGGCCATAAAATGGTCATTCGACGAGCTACACTTCGATTTCGCAGTGAGTGACGTTGAATCCGTTGTTATCATTGTTTCTCTGCGTTCGAGTTCATTTTGCCATCAGTTCTTTAAGTGGGTGAAACATAATTAAGTGCCAGTATTGCAGAATTTCGTTCTTGTCGAAGTCGCGCATCGAAGATGAGGAAACAGTCCAAATAATTTTAGGAAATAGTTTTGACACGGAAGTCTCCATTTTACATGGCTAACAAGTCGTTGCTTGGTATGAAGTAAAATGAAAAACATTCAAAATGGAAGCGGGAATAAAAAGATGCTCTCAGAATTGTGATGAAGCGTCATGTTAATGTCAGCAGTTGTTAATTTACCGTGGCCGGCAACTCTGCTGGTGTTATTTTGCTCTGGCTCTGATCGTTCAATTGCCGCAATGAGGAATTCTGGGCCCGACGTGAATCGGCGATTTTGCCGATTTCAGATCCCGATTTCAGCTGCGAGCGGTTGGACAATGTCAGTCCAGTAACTTCATACTAATTATAACTGAACATTAACTTTAAGGTTTTCTCTTGAACTTGTATATATGTGTTAATCCTACCACAACCTATTTTCCTGTTTGAATCATTTTTTTTCTCTTTTGTTATTAACATACCTACTTACCCCAACCATAACATTTTATTTTTGTGGTGCCCTAATCTTGCCAATTATTTGTTTTACAAGCTACATCAAAATTATTCAACTGCATACCTGTTCAATTCTTCAATAAATAAATGAATGAATGAAACAAAACGTGATTTTTACAACTCCCGACTGGCTACAAGATATTGTAAATGTAGTAAATAAATGCATTAAATCACACAGTTAGGATTCGAAACTGTGATGTGAAGAAACAAACCTAAAGAGCTGACCGGTGCAAATTTAATACCTGGAGTTTTTTGGGCGAAAAGCTAGGTGGCGAGTTGACGCTCATGTCAAAATAACTGCATTTTATATATATGCACACATGCATGTGTATGGGTGTGTGTCTAGCAGTGATGTATTCCTCGAGCCGGTCCTTGGTCTTGAGGACCGAAGGTCGGTCCTTGGCCTTCGGAGTCAATTCCTTGGCCTTGGCCTTGGCCTTGGGAATCAAGTCCTTGGCCTTGGCCTCGGGTTGCCGGTCCTCAGACACAATGAGGGATTAGAGCCTCGAATCCCTTGTCCACAGGTATAAAGTGGGACCGAGGATCGCAAAAACCACGAAGGAATCAAATAAATTCCATCCAGTGA